GCCTTGCAACTCAATGGGGCCCTCTGGACGTCACATCTTGTAGCCCTGAGCCGCCCTGCCCCCTGCTGGAGCTGGGGCCCGCGTAGCGTGCACCCTGCCCCCCCGCCCCCCCCGCCCCCCTCGCGCGGCGCCGGGGATCCCTGCAGGCCCCCTTGGGCAATCTCGGGCGCCTGGTGGGCCATGTTGGCCAGCTTGAGGCAGCAATCGGGGCCATGCTGGGCTGTCTGGGCGGCCTTTTAAGCCTTCTTGGGGCTCCTTTGGGCCGTCCTTGGCATCTCTGGAAGCCCTTTTGGGCTGTCTTTGTGGCTCTCGGGGCACTCGCGGGCCGTTCTGGGCTGCTCCTGGAAGCTGCCTGACAAGCCCTGAGCCGTCCTGCCCCCCCCGCAGGAGCCGGCCCCTCCCGTTCTCCTTGGGGTCGGGGCCGTGCTGGGGTCTGTCGGCTGCCTTTTGGGCCTTCTCGGGGTCCCCTTGGGCCGTCATGGGCCTCTTTGGAAGCTTGTTGGGCTGTCGCTGTGGTGTTCAAGGCCCTCGCGGGACGTTCTGGGCTGCTCCTGGAGCCACGCCAGGCTGTCTTACCTCTCTATGGTGCCCTCTGGACGTCACCTCTTGGAGCCCTGCGCCTCTGCTGGAGCCGGGCCCCGCATAGCGTGCACCTGCCCCGCGTCCCTCCCGCCGCCCTGGGGTCGCGCTGGGCCCCCGCGGGGGACCCTCTTGGGCAACCTTGGGCGCTTGGAGGACTAGATTGGCCGGGGTTGGGCAGCAGTCGGGGCCATGCTGGGCTGTCTCGGCGGTCTTCTGGGCCTTGTGGGCTTATTTCTGTTGTCCAGGACCTCTCTGGACGTTCTGGGCTGCTCCTGGAGCCATCCCAAGCTGCCTTGCAGTTCTATGGGGCCATCTAGACATCACCTCTTTGAGAACTGCCGCATAGCGTGCACCTGCCCCCGCCCCTCCCGCCACCCTGGAGTCGCGTTCGGCCTCCCTGACAATCCTCTTGGACAATCTCGGGCGCTTGGGGGGCCATCTTGGCCGTGGTTGGGCAGCAATCGGGCCCATCCTAGGCTGTCTCGGCTGCTTTGGGGGCCTTCTCGGGGCTCCTGGAGGCCCTGTTGGGCTGTCTGTGTGGCGCTCGAGGCACTCCTGGGCCGTTCTGGGCTGCTCTTGGAGCCATCCCAAGCTGCCTTGCAACTCTATGGGGCTATCACGTCGGCTGCCTCCACTTGCGTCAGAGGAGGAGGAGCGTCGGTAGCCTGAGGACGGGCCCCTGGGACGACGCGGCAGCGGGCCGCGGCGGCGGGGGGCCGGGGCCTCAGAGAGCTACTTCGCGATGTGATGTTGAATCGGCCGAGGGCGACCAGGCGCGCGCCCAGGCGGTCATTGTAGGCGCAGTCGCTCACGCCCTGGGTCTTGACCTCGAGGCACGTGTAGTACGAGAGGGCGAGGCGCTGGGTAGCCATCGGGCTCAGGATAGTCGCACCCCAACCCCGGGCGCTCCGAGACAGCGGGCTCGTCGTGGATGTCGAAGTCGCCGAGGGCAGCGACAATCCGCGATAGCGGAGCAACCTGTGCCCACTGTTGGCACTTGTGCCAGTCAACCTGGGCGGCTCGCCGTTGGTCCTGCGCGAGCTCAAAGTTGTGGATGTCCAGGGAGGCAGCAGTACATGCATTGCCGCGGTAGGCCACGAGGACTTGCACGCGTCCTGGAAAAAAAAGGGCGCGATGGAGAAGCATCTTGCGATCAGGGATTACGGAGACGTGGTGAGGGATCTCTGGCGAGCTTCCCAATCCTGGCTGGCCGACATCTGGGATCTCTGCCCCTTCGCCATGGATGGCCGCCCCCCCCCCCCCCCCCCAAACAACAAAAAAAAACAAAAAAAAACGCGGGCGCCTCCCCTTGGCCAGGAGGGGCGCGTGGACCCAGGTGGCCCAGCCGGGAGAGGTCAAGCTGATCAGATAATGAAGCCGATGAGGTGGCCGAAGAGGAAGACCTTGAACTGGTAGAAGTAGATGAAGAACGTGGAGCTGTGGACAGAATCGAACATGAGGCGACTGGCCATCCAGGTCCGTGACGTCGATGTCGCGCAGCTTGGGGAAGAGAAACGCGACGCCTCCCGTCCTCGACGAGCCGCTGTTGGAGTAGAAAGTCTCGTAGGAGTAGGAAGTATGCTGCAGGAGCCGCTGAAAGCGAGCTGCATTACCATGAACCTCCTGTGCAGCAATGATGTATCCCTGTCGCAGATATGGAAGTAGACGTTGAAGCTTAGCTTGGCGACGTCGTCGGTCAATGGTGAGCAGGCTGCGAGCATTCCACGCGATGATCTTGAGGCCCTGTTTGGAGCGGCCAGCCCGCTGATTGCTACCCCAAAGATATGGCCTTGTCCTCGTCGAAGAAGGCGTTGCAGCGCCTTTCCACGTCGGAGCAGTTGATGCCATGTTGAGCTGCGAGTTCACGATTCCATTCAATCTTGGTGGGCATAGCTGCAGTAGTGCCAAACTCAAATCGAGCCAGAAAAACTGTCAAGCGTGACTCGACCACGCTGTTTGTAGGGCCTGAACGAGAAGTTGGCGTAGTCAGATTCAAGAACCTTGTGAAGCCGTCGAGTGTGAATATCACGTCGAATGCGTCGGGCACTGCGGTCGATATTGACATCGAGAGGGGCACGTTGTCCCAGCACTGAGGTACTTGTGAAAGATCTCCATTCTCCCCTACGTAGCTTGAGACCGCGTGCGGGCGCCGTAGCTCTGGGGACGACCACATTCTTGTCGCCGAGAAGCCGTAGGGTGAACCGCTTGGCAGGAACATCGCCAATGAGAGAGGCATAGGACCTGTCAACGCCAGAATCCTGAAACCAGCTTTGAAGGTCACCCCGAAGTTGTTGAGGCGAGATCATCCAATGGAGAATACAGCAGGGACGGGTAGTCGATCAAATTCAGCTTCTGCGGCCAAGTCGACCACAGGAACGGCGGCTTCCGCAAGGGCAAGTGTCCGATTGATGCTGTCGATGGCTTGTCGATGGCGCTGTTGTTCTCCTTCAGAAGCGGCGATCCTGCGCTTGAGGTCAGCAACCTCCCCCATCGGTGGCATCCGAGCGCAGGTCCGTTTTCCGCTGGTACTCGTGAATGGTGGAGGTGAGCGTCCGCGCAGTGGCCTTCTTGAAGGTGTCCATGGCTGAGTCCAGGTGCTGGGTGAGCTGGTCGAACAGGGAGGCGGAGAGCGCCTCGATGGAGCCAGGCGCTGGGGGAGGCGGTGGTGCCGCACCAGGGGCCGCATCGGCAGCTGGACCTGTTCCTTGGCCCTTGTCTGCCATGGTAAGAGCCCGTGCGCGATCAATTTCGACTTGCTGAGGCGCAGAGAAGGTAGGCGGTTGTCCATCCTGCAATGCGGCCGCGAGAGCTTCACGCTGGAGCTGCCAGGGACCAGCTTGCTGGAGAGGACCGGAGCGAGCGGCACCTGGAACAGCTGCAGGAAATGGTCCCGTGGCACCGCCAGGTACGTGAGCTGCTCCACCTCCAGCTCTGCCAGACCGAGCGGCTGCAGCACGTTCTCCTTCGTGTTGAGGGCGATGAGATTCTTTGTCACGGAGCCGGCCACCCGCTTCACCCCGAGGTTTGTCGTAGTGCTTGGAGCGACGCCGGGGAGGACGTCCTCCAGCACTGCGTGAGGCACTGCGATCTCCTGCCGATGGAGCGGACTCAGAGAGGGCGTCCGTGAGAGCGTGCCGTTCGGGTCCCCGCGGATGTGCCACTCGAGGAGGTCCGAGCTCCACGACGAGAGGGCCTCAATCGTCAGGAACTGCTCGAGGACGCAAGAGAATATGAAAATGCTGCTAAGAGCGATGGATATGAAGGGGTGCCAGATCACCCGTGAGTGTGGCTGGAAAGTCGATTGGGCTGGCCGCGGACTAGCGGTGTCCATTTCCTGCTTGCGCTTGAACCAAGATGCCTTGAGCCAAACTGACTACGGACCTAGGAGGAGGAGGAGGAGGAGGAGGAGGAGGAGGAGAAGGAGGACGAGGAGGAGGACGAGAGACAGGAGGAGGAGGAGGAGGAGGAGGAGGAGGAGGAGGAGGAGGAAGAGGAGGAGGGGGAGGAAGAGGAGGAGGACGACCCCCGTTTAGATTGCACTTCGAAGTCCGCGTGTGCACGCTATGCGTGGCAACTTGGCCGTAACATGAAGGCATGGGGGTTCCCAGAAGCCCTCCACGCCTCTTGGAGGGCTTCTCAAAGACTCCAGGGCCCCTCAAAGACGGCTCCTGCCCTCTAAGAAGCCTCTCGCCTTCATAGAAGCCTCCCCCTCGCGTGAATCCCTCTTGTGCGCCGCCAAGGGAGGTGTGTATGTGTGTGTGTGCGTGTGCGTGAGAAGGGACGTTCGAGCAGGTGTCATCTGACACAGTCAGTGCCATTGTGACAGAAGTGCGCAGGTGCGGATGCCCCCCGCCCCAGGCAGCTGCCTTCGTTGGTCGGGGAGCGGAGTTTCGTTGGTCTTGGGTGAGGGGAGGGCGTGGGGAGTCGGGGGCAGGGGGGAAAAGAGAGGGGAGAAAAATGTAGAGGAGGAGAAGAGCGATGAGGGGGGGGGGGAGGAGGAGGTAAGGAGGGGCGAGGAGGGGCGAGGAGGGGCGAGGGGGGAGGACTCTGAGTGCGGCCAGGGGATTCGACAAGTTCTTGATGCCACTCGATCCTTACTTCAAACGCGCAGCGGGCTTGGAACTCGTCCTCGGGGCTTTCAGCAGATTCTGTCCCTGGCCCTCCGAGGCCCTCGTGCCTCCGCCGTGGGTCGGCATGCCTGGCCCAGCTCCCTGGTCTCGACGGCTGGGCAGCCTGACCGCGCAGGTGCCGCCGCGCCGCGTCGCCACTGTGCGGAGGAGGAGGGCTCGTGCAAGCCCAGCCCAGGTGCTGCAGTACACCCCGTCGCCAGAGGCACCAGCGACGTTGCAAGAGACCCTCCCTCCAAGAGCTCCCTCCGCAGAGGTCCCTCCACTCTGATGTCGCCCCTTCCCTCTTTTGCCGGCGTCGCGCCACTGGGCGGCCGCCGCGCCAGTGTCCGGGGCTCAGCCCCACGCCCCTCACGGGGCCTGCACACGCGCGGCGCCCGGCGCGCCGCCTCACGCGAGCTCCGCGACGGTCACGCCGTTCTCGCGGAGCTCCTCCGTGGCGCGCTGGAAGTAGCCGTCGTCGGGGAAGCCGAAGCTCTCTGGGCCTCCAGTCGTCGCCGTCTTCAGGTGTATGTTGAAGGCCGGCCAGTACTTGGCGTCCGTGGCGGAGACGCGGAGGTCGAAGAGGACGCGCCTGCGGAACGCGAGGCGGAGCAGCTCGAGGAGCAGCTTGCCGCGCTCGTCGTGGGGCAGGTAGGCGTGCTGCGTGCGGCCCCTGTACTGCTGGCCCGCGGGGTCCCTGCCCGAGGGGAAACGGAAGGTCATGACGATTGTGAAACTGTCCGGGTGCCCTGCGAGGCGGGTCCTGCTGTCCAGCCTCCACGCCATCGTCCCGACGTCCGGCTGGCGCCCGATGATGTGCCCGAAGCGCCGCTTGCACGCGGGGCAGGACCGCCGCTCCTCGAACCACTGCTGCAGGCAGCCCTCGTGGAACGGGTGACCACACGCGAGCAGCACGACCTCTCGGCCGGGAGGGGCGGAGCCCCGCCTCGGGCCCTCCCCGCCCGCGAAGCCCTCCAGGCACACCCCGCAGCGCACGCTCGACGCGGCCAGCCCCGCCAGCTCGGAGGGGCTCGACACGACCCTGCCGCACTGCCGCGGCGCGGGGGCCGCCCCCCCGCAGTCGAGCTCCTCGCGGCAGGGCGCCATCTGCCGGGAGCTCGCAGCTCGCGTGCCGCCGCGGCGGCCAACGGCGACGCGCTGTGCCCTGCAAGCGGACGGCGTGTCGTTCCGCTCCGCTGTGTGGGAGGCCCAGAATGTGACTACCTACCAGACCACCCCAACCCAACCCGAAGACCCGAATTTGACCCGAATTTCGGGTTGGGGGGGGGGGTACGGATACCATGTGTTTTTTCAACGTTCCCCGACCCCCCCCTCACTGGAAATCGAGGATAAATTTGGGCCTTCGGGTTGGGTTGGGGTGGTTTGGTGGGTGGTGAGAATGGCTCGGGACGTTGACGCACGGTGACTGTGGTGTGGACAGCGTGTCGCGCTGAGGCGCGGTGCGGTGGGCCAGGCCCGGCGGATCGACACGCCAAGCCAGAGTTCTTGACCGTGTGCACTCGCGCCGATCCTGCCCAAGCCCGTGCTGGGCCCATGATCGGTGCACACGCCCTCCTGCCACAGCCAGGAGGGCGCATGCGCCAATCCAGGTCCTACCAGCGGCCTGGCCAAGATCGGTGTAGGTGTGCAGGGTAGGCCTACAGGCAGGCCCTAGGATAGACCATGGGGAGAAGCCCAGGGGTGAGCCCTACGGGTAGGCTGAGGGCAAAGTTGGCCAGGTCGAGCGAGTCAGAAGGCCCCACCTACTCCCACCCTCCCTCCCGCAACGGAAAAACTAAAGGGGGCACAACTTGAGATTGGGATTGGAACGCGCTCCCACTTCCCTAACGGAATCAGCCTGCGCGCGGCCCCGCTTCCAGCGACTAGGCGACGAGAAGATTACGCGGGCCGCGCAGGGGCAGGAGCGGCAAAACTTCCGACGGGTGCGGCGAAGACGAAGCATGCGCAGAGTTCACGCAACATTGCCACTTTCAGCCGCAAGCTGCGCAACGTTTGGACGAAATCTGCATTTCACCCGCTCTCGCGCGGCCCCGCTGCCGCTGTCTCATTCACGCGCTTCGGCGAACGAGTCGCCCGCCGCGCCCGCGTCGGGTCGGGCGAAAGGGGGGGATAGCAAAGGGGGGGGTTGAGAGTCAGCTCACGTAGTTGATTTTCCCGGCGCCTCCCGGCGCCGGAGGCGGCTATCTATCGAGGAATGGGCCCCTCGGTGAGGCCGAAACCAGCTGCATGCAGCAAATTTCGTACCCCCCCTTTCCCAATCCCCCCCTTTCGCCCGGCCCGCCCGCGTTGGAACGCCACTTCCACGCCAAACGTGCACAGAACATGAAGGAAGATGACGTGTCGCCCACGCGCGCGGGCCCCTCCAACTTGCCGAGTGGCACAGATGCGCCGCGGCGTCGAGGCGGGAACGCCACTTTCAGGCAACATTATCGCAGCGCCGAGGCGACAGCGACATGTTCGCCCGCTCGGTCGTCAACCAAAACGCGTGCGAAAAATGCGCACAGCGCCAAAGCGGAACTCAATTCTCTAGACAGCGACATTTCCGCTTTTCGCGCGGGATGCGCGCCTGGCCGTACTCCTGCCACGTATTTTCAACATGGACGACAAAATATCCATGTTGAGACGAACACCGTAAACGTCCACTGCTTGTTTTAACAATTCGCATCGGAGAGCCCGGATTCGGCCGCTATAAGCCGGCTGCGGTAAGGTTGCAACATACATACCGATATAGCAGATATGTGCCTAGGAAGCACGACGGGTAGGCTTGGGATCATGTTGGCCAGGTCGAGCGAGTCAGAAGGCCCCGCCTACTCCCACCCTCCCTCCCGCAGCATGAGTCAAGTGGGACACAACTTGATATTGAGAGATTGGAACGCGCTCCAACCTCGCGAACAGAATCAGCTCGCGCGCGGTCCAGCTTCCCACGACTGGGCGAAGAAAAGACTACGCGGGCCGCGCAGGGGCGGGAGCGGCAAAACTTCGGATGGGCGCGGCGAAGACGAATTATGCGCCGTGCTAACACAGCCCTTCCACTGTAACTCACAACCTGCGGGGCGTTTAGACGAGATCGGCATTTCGCCCGCTCTCGCGCGGCCCCGCTTTGACACAACATTGCCACTTTCAGTCGCAAGCTGCGAAACGTTTGGACGAGATTGGCATTTCGCTTTCTCTCGCGCGGCCCCGCTGCCGCTGTCGCATTCACGCGCCTCGGCGAACGAACCGCGCGCCGTGCCTGCGTTGGAACGCCATTCCGAGTCAAATGTGCACGGAGCTTGGGCGACAGCGACAAGCTGCACTCTCGCGCGGGCACTCCCAAATTTGGCAAGTGACGCATATGCGCCACGTCGCGGCGGAAGCACAACTTTCAGGCCAATTCGGCGCGAGGCCGAGGCGACAGCGACATTATCGCCCGCTCGGTCGTTAACGAAAACGCGTGCGAAAAATGTGCACCGCGCCAAGGCGGGAACTCAATTCCGTAAAGAACGAGCATAGCTCCGAGACGAGAGCGGCATTTCCGCCTGTCGCGCGGAATGCGCGCCCCGTCCCATGCCTGCCACACATTTTGCAACATGGGCGATCGGATGTCCATGTTGACAAGGAAAACGTAGACTTTGAGTTGTTTCTTTGGTTCAGTTAGGATGGGAGGGCCCGGATCTGGCCGCTATCCTCGGCCAGCTGCGGTGGGGTGGCAGGGGAGAGTACCAATCAGAAACACGGATGGGCCTTCCTGCGAGGGTCTGTACTTGGGCGCCCGAGCTATCCGGGGTAACTCGGGTCCGGGGTAACTCGGGTTTGGATTCCCGACAAAGAAACCCGAGTTAGCCCTGACCCGAGTTACCCCTGATGATGTGGGCTCTGAAAGCCCGAGTTATCAGGGGTAACTCGGGTCCGGGGTAACTCGGGTTCGGAATCCCGAAAAACGAACCCGAGTTAGCCCTGACCCGAGTTACCCCTGATGATTCGGGGCTCTGATGTACGGTCTGTAGCTGGCCACACCCCAGCACTCGAGCTCCTCGGGCAGCCGCACCTCCCCGTCGCGCACGGCGGGCGTGCGCAGGCGCACGGGAGCTGCCGGCGCCGCCGCCGCGCCCGAGCCTGCCGCACCGCGCTCCTCCCCGAAGCCCCTGCCGGAGATGATCGCGCCGAGGGACACCGCGACGACCGGAGGGCGTCAGCTAACCGTTGTGCACACCGATCCTGGCCAGGCCAGTCCTGGGCCCAGGACTGGTACATAAATGCCCTCCCCGCCAAGATCCTGGGCCCCAGCATGAAAACAAACACGATCGCATCGTCGCGGAAGGCGACGTGCGAGGACATGGGAGACGCGGGGGCTCAGACCTTTATTTGTCGGTCGGAGGCAGCAGACACATCAGCCAACAAGTATCCTACACGAACTACCAGAAGGAAGAAAGCAAGTAGTGAAATCGCAGGGGGGATTTTCCCCCTGACCCTCTTATTTCTATCCTCTCTCCTCCGTCTTGCGGCTGCGGCTGCGGTGCCGGGCATTGCCCAGAGCAGATGCCCGCCACCGTACCTTGTGCACGCTGAGGCGTGGAAGAATGCTAAGGGCTGTCTGGTAGGAATTGAATACACGTCGTTCATGTCGTGCTCATTTCCAATTGTGCTTGTTTCTGGTGGTTCTCGGCCCCCCAGTGGCCAGGAAGAGGCCCAGGATGGAACAAGTAGAAGTGAGAGGATCTTGGCCCCCCAGAAAACCAAAGACCTTTCAAAAAAATAGAAATGAACAACGTGTACTTCTGGAAAGGCACCCCCCACCCACCAGGGACGCCAGCCATCTGCATGCCCCAAGCAGACGTCCGCCACCGTGCCCTGAGCACGTGGCGGCGTGGCAGAATGCTGAGGGCTGCCTGGTAGGGTTTGAGTACTTCTGCAAAGACCCCCCCCCGCCCACCAGGGGCGCCAGTCATCTGCATGCATCCGCCCCCCCCCTCCCAGGGCCACGATCCCGCTCGGCCCCAGAGGCCACGAGCCCCCGCAACAGAACGACGGATGTGTGCGCCCCGAGCGCCCCAGACGGTCCACGCAGGCAAGCCAGGGACGCGAAGATGGCCCGAGATGGTCCCAGGGTGGGCCTCCTCCTCCTCCTGCTCCTGCTCCTGCTCCTGCTCCTGCTCCTGCTCCTGCTCCTGCTCCTGCTCCTCCTCCTCCTCCTCCTCCTCCTCCTCCTCCTCCTCCTCCTCCTCCTCCTCCTCCTCCTCCTCCTCCTCCCCCTCCAATATGACTTCAAGACGGCCCAAGATGCCTCCCAGAGGAGCCAAAAGGGCCGGGATTTCCCCCTTGGTTTGTTGACGGATGGTCGCATTCCACCTTTTCGGGCTTCCGTCATTTCAAGACGGCCGAGGAAGCCTGGCCCAGGAGGTCCCACGATGGGCCAAGGGTCACCCAAGACAGTCCCAAGACGGCCCAAGCGGGCCTCCCTGGGACCCCAGACGGCCTTTGAAGGCCTTTCCACTGCCCAAGACGGCCCCACGACGGCCCCCAGATACCCACCATACGGACAAGAGGGCCCCAAGATGGAACAACAGAGCTCCAAGACGGTGCAAGAGGGCCCCAAGACGGCCTTAAGGGATCCCCAAGACTGCTGCAGATGATGCCAAGACAGTCCCAAGGCGGCTCAAACGAGGTTAAATACGAGCTCCTCACATAGTGAAGACCGAAGGTGTCTCATCATCACCACCACCATCCTCCCTCACCATCACCATCACCATCACCACCACCACCATCACCATCACCATCACCATCACCATCATCATCATCCTCATCCTCATCATCATCATCATCATCATCACCATCATCATCACCGCCACCACCACCACCCCTACCCTCACTATCACCAGCCCCATCACCACCCACCACGACTACGACCACCAACACCACTACCACCACCATCATCAGCATCATCATCATCATCACCATCATCATCATCATCATCACCATCATCACCATCATCACCACCACCACCACCCTCACCATCATCAGCACCAACACCGCCCACCGCAACCACCGTGATTATCATCGTCGTCGCCGTCGTCGTCATCGTCATCACCAACATCACCATCACCATGATGGTGATTATCATCATCATCATCATCATCATCATCATCATCATCATCAACAACAACACCATCATCACCACCACCACCCTCACCATCATCAGCACCACCATCACCATCACCCACCACCACCA